GAAATTTCCCATCAGCCCGACGGCTGCGGCCCCTGCTATTCACAGGGAAGGGCGGTGACGTCACCGCACTGGTAAGCCGGCTCACACAACCTGCAATGGTGGCCGTATGCGTTACAATATGATATTAGGGAGGTAAAAACATGGCTGCAGACTTAGGATGAGATGTTGCTATATGCTAAAGAACAGGCTTAGACCTATTTTTCAGAGCTGTGCACCTCTATCTGGAGGGAAAATAAACCTAGAATAAGTTTTCTTACACTGTTTCCTGGATTCCTTACTTAAACCTCTAGCAAAATGGTCACCAAATATCAAGTTACTCCCAAAATATATCTCAAATTTCAAATTTAGCTTCAATTATTTCTTAAAACACCTTATCCATCTTTCTCGAGTCTTGGAACTAGACAGGGTGCTGAAGTCAACATTGACACGTCTCGGTCAGGTGGGTATAGTACATTAATGCATCTATCCCAAGATCCTCTGGGAAGAGAAGTTCTACTTAAATGCAAATAATTGTTACTGCCATTCCACGCCATTACAGGAATATGAACGTTTTCAATGTATATTTACTGTATTGATACTTGTTTGCTAATTTAACCTTGGTGCTTAAGATCGCTTCACTAATTAAGTCTAAGTTAGAGTAAAGAATTGAAAATGCAGCAATAGCGGAGAAAAGGAAGTGCTACAGTTGCCTACCCCTGGAATAAATCAGGTGTACTTTGTGATACCACTAGAAGCCAATACAGGTCAGTCAAAATCGAAAGATTTTACTCCATGAAAAGAATAACGTTAAAACAATTAAAACTAAACTTTGACATATTAACGTCTTTTACCCTCTTTTTGCTTCAGCTTCTACAATTATATTTAAACCATAATAATCTTTAACTGTGCATTTTAATACAACTGGCTTTAATGTCGCATTGTCATTTCTTTGTTAACAGCATTAAAAGACAATTGATGGTAATAAGTATTCGACTTTATCAAAGTTTGTTCCACTGGACCACTTTGTTTAAATTTCTGTTCGCATTTTAAGGCATTAATGTGCATTCAAGTAAACAATAACAATTAGCCTTTTTCCAATTTCTTTAGGTTGTATTTTATTACAAAACATTTTCACTAATCTAATATTAAAAGCTTTAAATCATCACATAGTGTGTATAATGTGAATGGGATTGTAGTTCTATTATAACATTTTAATTAAGTTTATAATTAATATGATTAACAGGAGGAGATAAGTAGCTAAGTTATACTATCATGTGTTTCTTTCATCAATACAATAAAATGTGCAATCTATACCTTGTAGTGTTTTCTTTATTATCCATGTGAATGCTCTTGTGCATTAAATTAGAAAACTGATACTCAAGTTTTCTACATTTCTGTGGACTTTCCTGAATTACACTGGGCACTGCCAAAACTACTCCTCACATCTCCAAACACATATGTGCCAAAGAACAGATTCTTCCACAATTAAAACTCACCAAAACGCCCACATTTAAAATGTTAAAGCAATTTTTATCATACATTTACAGATTCAAAGACTGCTTTACTTTGCAGCAATAACAATAGTTGAAATGATTGAGTAAATTCTCATGCAAACCACACATTCAAATAATGACATCAATCTCCCTTTATTCAGAGAAGAAGCTGACAGGGGCGTGCTGACAGCCACAATAAGTCTGGGAATTATAAGAGGTGCAGAGAAACGAAGCGCCAAGTTGTGTTCTTGGTTCTCTTCATTAAATGTGGTCTGTAAGCATCTTGTAAGCAGAGCAGCAAAGCCAACCTGAGGAAGGGTGAGGTTCTGCACATCTAATATTCCCACTACTCTGTAGGTACCTGTGTACAATGGGAAGTCAAGCT